TAGGTTAATTAGAGTTGCTGATTGTAAATGTAAAGTTCCCAACTTATTATGATGCTTCATTGAAGAGTCATGCCAGGTAAGAGGTAGCGGTTTTTTCCAATGTTCCTAAAAAATGCGGTTACACCGTTTAGAAAGCTTTGCAATTTTGTGAATAGTTGAGTATTGAACTCAGCGTCCATAAAAACACTATTGCACACGTTTTTACATTTTTTTTTGAAAAATCTGAAAGGACGGCTTTTTCCACATTGACACCATATGTTTCAAGTTTCTACCATAATCCTACATTAATGAAGAGAGATGGGTGAGTCGTTCTATACTGTAAATCTAAGCTGAACTTCGCTCTACAAAATGGTACCTAGAGCTTTCCGAAACACTTCATCACAAGAGAGTTATTTACAATCAAACAGCGGATACATTTTTTTGGGACACCCTGTATTAAACGCACCGTCCACCGTAGATGAAGACGATGAGATTTTGATTAATAGCAACAGATCCCCAACTGTATATTTGCCCAACTCGCAGTGTCAATAGCTGCTTCCAAAGCAAGAAAATTGCTTCGAAATTCGCTTCCGATGACGAAATCGCCACGTTGGCTCCTCCCCTGTGAATGGAAACATTTGTCCCGCCCATCCGTGCGCACCTAACTCATCACGTTCCGGAGAACTCGCCCTGCGAGTTCTGGGGAACGGGGATTGCCGAGGTTTTTGCGCATTTTCGGCTTCAAATTTGGAATCAGGGACATGTGAAGGCTCCAGAGCGACAAAAACATTTGGGTGGACGATGCCTTAGAATATAAAGAATAGTTTTCTACTTGCGTTTATCAAGTTATTAGGTGCAAAGAAAAGGAAGTCACCTTTCATTTTCTTGTCATGGCATCACAACAAGACAAACCTCAAAGAAATGTATTGCATACCATTCTATAGAGCAAAGCAAACTCTATAAAATGACATTACCTTTTTGGCTATGTTGAGTCCAGGTGAAGTTGAAAGATGGCTAAAGTTTCGAAAAACCGAAAAATCAAAAATTTGTCTCGGTCCAAAAAATTTCTGCGGACCTTCAACATGCTCAGAGAGTTACACCTTTATCAAACATTCATAAACGCATCAATCAAAACAAGCAGTTTTCATCCTTCATTTTTCTCCTGCGCCTTAGAACGCAGATTTCGAAACTCTCTCACTCATTTCTTCAGCATTTTTACCAGTTACCAGGTTTCATAGTCTTACTGTCCTTCTAAGTTTTTCTACCAGATTTCATGAACTTTGGCCATATCTCCTTCGCCCAGCGCTCTTAATTATCTCTTGCGGATACGCGCGGCATGGCTTTGGTTCTCGTGCGTCCTTCGTTCCGTAGAATTCTATTCGTTGTAAACAAAGGGTATGTATTGCCTCCATTCTACACAACATGTTGCTACGCGGCAGTGTTTGATACTATATATCTGTTTCTGAAGCTGTAAATTCAGTTATACTGAACCGCAGACTTTTTTAGGCTAGTCATGAAAATGAAATCATTTCGCTTGAATTTTTTTCTGTGAAATTATGGAGAATACATGGTACGTTCTTCACCTTGACAACGATTAAACATGTATCCGTGTGTGGCAACTCAAATTCGCTAAACTAAATTTCGGCAAAATCGACGTTGTCAACACTTTGACATCAATGAATCTCCAAAGTGGCATTAACGCAATTCACAGGTACGACTTCTTAAGCGCGCCAAATCTCAGTTTGTCTTCTATCTACACTTGTTTTCAGCTGTACTTAATAGTCAACTTCTTGCTACACTTTGTCCACAGCTTTGTCTTGATGGGTTCATTCCAGGTTGTGCACTGCTACTTTTTTTGAAATACGTGAAACCTCGAATTGAAGGGTCTCCGAAAAACGCAAGGATTGTTTTTTTATTACGTTTTCAAAAAAGACAGCCCATGTTTGTTGCTCCTATGTAATCAGTCGAGTTTCGAGTACGCATTATCTAAAAGAGAAGTCATGAATGGAAATGCCATTAGTTATGAATTGAATACATCAGGTTGTTTCATAAGTTCCTTGCGTTTATTTTTGTCTTTGTTTGATGGAGCGGTTGGTCTACGCAAAGTCCATGTTCTAATCAAAAAAGCAGTTTCGTTTTACAAAACCTTCTCTTTGTTTTCGAACAACCCTAGCCCTTGCTTTGTGGTTTCTCGAAGCAAAGTAATCTGAAAGGTAAAATTAGCGAAAATACCTGCGTTTGGCTCCCATACGGAAATCACCGGTGGTATTTGATATGCGGTTCGAATGATGAGAAAGAACAGTGGGACTATAATGCATAAAAAAGTAAACTTTTTTATGAGAACACTACAGAGAAGAATAGAGGGCACTTTCACCATATTTGTAGAATACTATGTTTGGGGAATGAGAGAGGGTCTTTATTCCACTTTAGAGTCTGTTTATCTCGAGAAGCGTAACAGGCCGGTCAGAGCTTGTATTCAAACATATCTGCATTTAGGCTCCCGCCAGAGTGCCGAAGCCATGCCAGCGCTACGCCAGCGCCGAGCCAGCGTTTCGATCGATACACGTGTATTTCGTTGGCGACATCTACCTGCTGAGAACTAAGTCAGCTAGTCCCGCCCCAACGGAATACACATGAATCGATCGAAACGCTGGCTAGGCGCTGGCGTAGCGCTGGCATGGCTTCGGCACTCTGGCGGAAGCCTTAGACAGAACCATTCATTCTCAGAGTTCTGTTGCCAAACAAGGCTTTGAACTCAAACGGCAGCAGTCAAAAGAAGCAACTGTTGAGACCTCGTCTAAAGTTTAGCCCGTTGGTGCAACATCATTTGTCAGCATATCAGCTTGCTTGCCACCAGCTATCAGGACCAATCATACAGAGAAAATCTAATGGGATACGAGCGTATGGAAAGTACAAGTGTCGATCGTCTTTTTTTCTCATTCAAAAAACTTTGCTTTGAATAGTTATAAAACTATGGTCATTAGGCTGCTTTGAAAATAAGGGACAAACCCTTCTAAGCAGAACTGGCTCTTTAATGGAACAAGTACTTTGCCGTGAAGCGACTGCTTCATCAAAAATCGAAGACAAGATAATGTAGACGACTTTATTGTGAATCTTGTTGGCATAAGCAGACGAATATTAATTAGGCAAAGTTTTAAGTAAACGTTTGTCATCAAAAATATGGTTTCGTTGCAGTCGTGTGCATCAACTCTCATAAACCTCCAAGTAAAGATTAACATAAGAAAGTGATATGTGTTGATAAGAGTGATACATCATCATCAAAAAAAACACCTTCACGTTTTTACTCTTGACCAACTCATCTATCGGCTTTGTCGTAAGCACCTTAATTTGAATTTATCTGTTTTGATTTGCATTGAGTCAAAGTCTTGACATTAGTTTATAAAATGTTTGAACTTACCATCATTCCACATTTCGTCACATCTGGAAGAGCAGAAGACTGCCCGATAATCCACAAACTTGTAAGAATGCTTCAAGTACTAAGGCGATAATATCGTAACGGTTGCATCTGCCAGATAGGTCAAGGTCAACCAACTCCCAAAAAATGAGAGTTAAAGTGAACGAGAACGCCCGTTGTCAGCCGTTGTTGAGTGTGCCGCTGAAAATAAAAGAGAACATTCTCATGGCGACTGGGACGAGCCGTACAAATTCCTGTTTATTTGAAGGAGTCAGCTATAAAAATCTAAATTACTAAAAAACAAATTTTCGCGCGACCATGTAAAAGATGTCGAACGACAATTCAATACGTGTACTCACAAAATCTAGGACGTGCTTTCTGGATTGTTCTCGCTCTACAATAATAAGGCGTGGAGATCACATGGTCCGCAACATCGCTGTCCTATAAATTCTACCTGATTTTCGTTTTCTCTTTTTGCATTCTTTTTCTGCTCTTCTTCGTACAATGTTACATCCTGCTTTTTTTCGCAGTTGTGCTCATAACTGATCTTGAACAGCAAACTTTGAAGATTTTCCGTAAATGCAATCAGGTTGGCTAAAAAATAAGTTCGGTCGTTTTTAGTGGTTTGTAGCATTGGTTTGAAATCGTCATAAATCGGTTTTTGTGCGTATATATGGTACCACTGGAAGAGCAAATCAAGGAGAATCGGATGGTTGACTCTGTTTTCTCAAAAATGATATTTCTGACAACGAAATAGAGCAGAAGAAAAATGGTAGATTTTTTCCTTCAAATTTTCGAAAAATCGCGCCATGAAAAACGAACTGAAGTTGGGTGTAAAGTGTAGATTCGCTATCCACACAACCAATTTTTTATTTCCAACCTTTTGCATGGCCATGGATGGCCAAATTCGAGTTATCTGGAATGCCCAAAATTTGACCTTCACGCGCAAATGCCTGGAAATTTTCACAATTTTGACTGCAGAAATTCAAAAGTAGCAGGTCACAATCTCTATTGTGGCGCCACCTAGCCAGTGGCTGTATGTATCCAGCCGCCAAATTACTCGCCTGTGTGCTCACTGCGGGCTGAGAACGAAAGCTAGAAAGTCAAGAAAGCGATTTTTTAGAAGTCTGACCATATAAGGTTCTAACAGTCACTTTTTGGTAACAACAAATCTTGGCTATTTAATATTCAAGAGTAGAGGCATGAGGCTATCTTCTCATAAAAATGTGTTAGGCTTAATAGCTGTTACTTGAACTGTTATGAAGTTTTGCATTTGCATGTCAAAACGGGCTTATATTAGCCAACCTAATATTTATAGATTATACGTAGCGTACGATGCGGTCTAGATTTGCCTCTGACCACGGATTTTAGCTCGCATAGATCAAAACGGCTAATAGCTAATCGCTAGCATTATGAATGGCAGACCATTCAAAGTGATGTATCCGTTTAGCGTTAGCGCCGCTCTTTCGTATTGCTGAAAAAAAGCTAGAATGCTCAGCTACAGCTCGACGTCCGATGGCTTATCTTCTTCTGCTCTCCATCGTTTCTTTATTGATTCTTACCGGAGCCAGACACATGGAATCTGTTGCTGAAATTCCTCAAGCTCAGAATATCTACGCGATCGACAGTCGCTCAAAGGATATACAAGAACTATCATACGGTCCACTTACATGTGTACCAGATGCCATGATCCTGAATTACTTATTACGGCCTACTGCGTATAATAAGCATAACCTACCACGTACGTTTTTTGCATTTTCCCTCCATAATTCTTGCAATGGTTGCTGCTAGGTAACAGCTTATTTGCTTGGACGCTTTTGAACCTTAATTCGGAAATTTACGACAAAATATGAGGGTTACCTTGAAGATTTTTTGGTCAGTAATTTGTATAAACGTTTAGCTAAGTGTTTTGTTAGGTTTTGTAGTTGTCTTTTTGGCCCGTGCAAACGGAAAGTACAGCAGTAAAGTGAAATGTTTTTGGCTTGGCGATAAATCAAATTATCGCAGTTCAGTCTCAACATGCTGCCATCGATGTTGTAGACAGTGGTTAAATATTAGAAATTTCTTTGAACGGGAGGAGAAAATCCAAAATCAAAACAAAACAATCTTTTCAAGAGGGTAGGCATGGCCTGAAACATGTTCTACGACAGATTTCTCAGACTTTGCTTTTGAAAAAAACTTGCTTGAATTCCGATAAAAGGCATAAACATTTCTGCTCAGAAAACTAAGTTAAACGGTAAAGTTAGCAGAATCTAATCATTTACACTTGAAAACAATTCATTAGTATGTTTACGTAACTCATGCGGACTAGCTTTAATATAACAGTAAAAGCGTCCATTTTTAAAAATTCATATAATAATAATAATGCATAATTTCTTTGCGGACAAAAGAGGCGTCTCGGTAAAAGTTGAATTCTGGATACATGGTATAAACAAGATTTCCGAAATGACCAACGACTTTGAAATGGAAATGTACATCAACGAGCTATGGACAGATCCAAAGCTAAAATTTGACCACCTAAATGCTTGTAAAGCCAATCTCTCACTTGATCATGCGTCACTTGTAAGGTAAGTGCTAACATTACTTCGCATTCCACCGCAACATTATGCTCAAACAGGGTGTGGACTCCAAATTCCTGCTTCTCAAACTCCAAGATTGCAGAAATCCACGACTCTCCGTTTTCAAATGTCTTCCTCACACTTTTCGAGAATGGGACGGTGTGGGTAAATTATGTAAGTTTCTTGATCTCTTTCACACTTAGATTTTTGAACTGTTCAACAGGGCATCGTCTGCAAATTTTGTTCTCGCTTATGAGAGGTGCATTAAAGCAGATAAACGAAACGCGAACACTCCAAAACGAATGCCAGAAAGTACGTAAAAAAGCAGATGAGTATGAAAAACATCCTAAGTACACAGCAAAAAATTATTCAAACGTTCTTGATTTAAGCCATAACCTGTTTTTTCAGAGTGATTTTCTTGGTTTCTCGTGATTTTAGCTAGCGCAAAATACTGCAATATCGCAAAAATTTCATAAAGTTCGCCATTCGCTTACTACTAACATCATTTCTTCATCAACACATAACTTGGCGATAGGTCATCTCGGTAAAATGCCACTTTCGAATTTCACAATCCCCTCAATCGCGCAGGCGGCATTGGTTAATCAATCGAAGCGCGTTTTCCCTTTGAGCTTGCGAATCTGATGCTGGTTCACTTCTAGCAGAGAAGAGTGGAGAAGTTTAAAGTTAAAACTCTTACTTTGTACTAAGCCGTAAAACGTGAAATGAAGGGGTGAGACCGAATGGACAACTTATGTGAACTGGCTGTTTTGTGCGCTGGCATTAGGTGCCGATGGCCACCTCAGTCTTTAGAGAAAACCTCTTTGTCGATATGACTGGATACTCGACCTTGCTCATTACACGATATATGGTGAAACACAATCTTTGCATTACTTCTATACGACATTTCTCTATTCCTTCCTGTCCTATCTCTATGTACAAATTCTAGCTGCTGGCTCCCGCAAGTCGCTATAAAAGCCCTGCCCGCATTGATTAGTCTTTCGAGTATGTAGTGAAACGCGTTCAGTGCATGCCTGCAGAATGTATTGAAATATTGAAAACGCCAAATTCTTTCCTTTGGCTCAATGTGTGCTTGTGTGTATGTGTTATACGAGTTGGCATAGGAGAGGGAAGAAGGGAGGAGGGAAGCAAAATCTTGAGCTGATTACGAGTAATCTTATTGCGAGCTTTGAGCCGAGCGCTTGAAGTCTATAGGGTTGATCGTGCCGGTTATGATTACAAAATCCACCCTCAGAGTCATTTGCATTTGACAGCTTTACCAATTTTTGCAAAACTTTGAGGTGGGACACAAAGAGTTGACAAAAGAAGTAAAGCGAAAAGCTGATCATGAAAACTAGTGCGGGCAGGGAAATGGCATATAGAATTGTAACAGAGACAAGGATCTGTTTAAAATGAGAGAATGACGGTACCACTGTGTATCAATTAAGATCGCGGAGCCGTGCATGAGAGCTAACTTACGACGATCACTCCCGATTCAAAAGCACCAATACCGATTCTGTCTATATGAGCGTAGTATTTCGAGTTAACTTTATTATGCGATACAAACGTAAAACCACATTGTTCATCTTAAAATGAAAGCGAGATCTTGATATATTATCTGTTTGAACCAGCGTCTGCGAGTGAAAGGTCCGTGCTACATGAATCTATTGGACTTTCCAATGGATACGCAATCGTGTCGTCTCGTATACATGAGGTTTGAGTTTACACATTACAGAGATCCCTCTTTTGCTCATTCATAACTGTGACTATATTGGAATATGAAGTAGCTTAATTTTTATCAGTGTAAAGCTCTCTGCTTTGATATAATACGGATTTCCTCATATCAAAGATTCAAGCTTTTCGTACAACAATGACGAAGTTCGCATGCGATGGAATACTCGTAGAGAACCTGTATTTTTACTTATGCCAGTACATATTGCCGATTACACATTGAAGGACATTAGACCAGAGGCAATTCGTCGAGTAAGATTACAATTTCTTCTTCTACATTGCTGTTCACGAATTATTTCATTTAAGCATTATCCAGCTGGCGAATGGGATGAATTGATGGTAACGTTCGTGTTTGAAAGACGATACATGTGGTATTTTCTGCAAGCTTATCTGCCAACGTACTTTACTATATTTGTGAGGTAGAGCTAGTTATTAACTAATTAATTGAAGATAGAGCTTCAATAACGCAGTGCGCAATCATGCCAGTTGTAAGAATAGGTGGTCATTTCGAATTTTTGTATGTCTGGGTTTACTCAGTAACTGATTGTTGATGCATAATTCCTGCACCGAAATAGATATAGACCGCAATAATCCGTAATAATCCCATATTCCAAATAAGATTCGATATATCTTTAGATAGAGCAAACCTAGCTCTACAAGATAGTGCTTAAAGTTCTGCTGAAGCTTTGATCCAAACGAAGATTGAAGCCAAAAACGAAAAAGATCCAAGCGCCCCAAAAACCAAGAAAAAAATTGGAATTCCGTTCAAAAAAATCCTTCAGAATTTCTAACTTGCTCATGCCTTGGCATTTCGTATAAGACATTTCTCATGCAGTTGCTGTATTTTTCTCTCACCTAGAAACCGAAAAACCAAGTTTTTCATGTTTAATTCTAAAACAATGCTGAGATGTTCTAACACTGACAGTTGTATACTATGAGACTTTAGAAGCATAGATGTGAATTTTCAGCCTGCCTTTTACAGTAGCTGATTCACAAGAAATGTCGAATTTTTGGCAACCAGGCAAGAAAAATTCGGATAAGGAGAGCTAGATTTGATATTTCTCGCAAACTCTTCTTAGCTCTTCTAGAAGGCTGAAAATGTAAAGTTTTACTACTGGAGGCATGTAGTATACAAATGTTAGTGTTAGAACATCTCAGCACTAAATTGGCAAAAACAAGGAAAATTTTGGTTTTCTCATCGTTTAGCTGAAAAAAAAAATACAGCAACTGCGTAGATGAATGTCTTACGCGGAATGTCTACGCGTGAGCAAGAAAGAAATTCTGTAGGAGCTTTTTGAACGAAGGTACAATGTTGTTTTGATTAGTTTTAAGGTTTTCGGACGCATGGTTTTTTTTCCGTTCTTGGCTTAAGACTTCGCGTGGATCAAAGCTGGCGTAGCTATTTCAGCACCATTTTGTATCTTCGAGATTTCCTCTATTTAATGAAATATCAAATTTTATCTAGAATATAGGAGATTCCGGATTGTTGCGGTCTGTACCTATTTTGGTGCAGGAATTATGCATCAACCTAATAGCTATGGGATGGCTCGCATCGGACTGCATGCACTCAGTCAAATTGCTAAATACGGTAAGTATCCTTACCGCATAAATAGCGCCTTACTAGGAGCCGCACTTTCCACGTGAAAGCTCACTTGACGTGTATGTGTGTGGACATCCTTTGAAGGCAGTATCTCACCAAGATTTGAGTAGCGGTATCCTTGCAGGTTATGGGCCTTCTCGATCATGTGTAATCCTACACGTCTTCGAAATCAATTATTTCCCTCGACATTTCCGCTTTTAAAGTTCTGCTTGACTACGACACTTTCACATGAGGTTGCGTTCATGCTGATTTAGAAGTTCGGGACCAGTTTCAGATCAGTATGAACGCAGCCTCGCAAAGCTTCGCACTCTATGGACTCGCTCTTACTCGTATTGTTGTTCGTATTGCAATGCTTCAATTTAAATTGACTACTGCATAAGTATACACACAATACGTGCTCCAGCTGGATCGCATTTTCCCTGGGACCTCAAGCAATCACTCCACGCACGATGATAGGCGTCAACGCTCTTCTATCAATGATTTTTCACTTTGGCTCAGTAATGCGAAATCTTCCTAGAGTTTCTTACGTCAAGGCTATAGGTAATGACTCTTAGGTACTCTTCATCATTCCATCTGAAATTCAATTTTTAGATGTGTGGATGCTCAGTTCTGTAACTTTCGTGTTTTTATCTTTAATAGAACTCGCTATTGTTGGTTTAAAGGAGAGACAGGTTGGTATTTCTTGGATTTTGTGTAATGATTGTAGCAAATTGTTTGAGGGAAAACAGCTAATAGTTCAGCGAATCGATAGATTTGCTCAGTTGGCATTTCCGGCAGCATTTAGCATATTCAATGTAAGCTTGCTCAATATGATCTTTTTTTGAGCTCAGAATAGGTATCCATGATCTGGTTCAGATAGTTTATTGGGCAAGATATGGTATGAAGTTTTGATGAGCGCTCGTAGATATGTCAGTCCTTTGAATCTTTTCAGTAAAAAAAGATCTTATCTATCTGTCCATCTGAATTAACAATGATGTATTTTCGTGTTAAATGCTTCGTTGGCATAAAACATCTTCAACGAATCCAATGCAGAACATCTCACAAACATGTAAACAGTTGAAGACATTCAGAATTTCCGCTGACATTGAAGTCCGCATGAAATCAGAGGCCGCATTCATCATTGATACCTTGAGGTAAATCCTACTTCCAAGTAGTTTTATCACTCATTATCAGTGATAAAACTGTATGATAATGAGTGATAAAACTATCTGGAAGTAGGACTTCCTCAAGGTACTTCCTCATGGCTTCCTCAATGATGAATACGGGTTCAGGATGCTTTTTTGGTGCTAACGAGGGTGTACAGTCGAGTGATTTTCGCTCACTATAGTGTGCTTGCACTGCTGAGAAAGTGCGGTAAAACTTGAGCATGAACAATTAGCTATGCCTGTAATGCCGGCTACTTGCGCATGCAAAATGACATCACTGGCGCTGCTATTTGTTCACAACAATTTTCTCAGCAGTGCATGCAACTATATCAAGCGAAAAGTCTACTCGACGGTATTGTACAGTAAAGTAGGCAGACTTGCCGTTGTATGACATAAACTCTAAGTAGAAGCATCTCTCTTTCGACAAGTCTCTCTGACGAATCTCATGAGCAATATTTGTCAGTTTAACATGCATCTATCATGTTGCATTGTCGTGAGGAATCTGTGGGCACATAGTTTTTGATTCAACTAACTTGGCGGCTAGAAGGCGAGGCTTCGTGACCTAATTGATTAAATAATGATCAGAAAGCATGCGCGCGGAAGGGACGCGGACTGCGTCACGGATGCGGGCGGCCTCAATTAGGTCACAAAGCCCCGCCTTCCAGCCGCTAAGCCAGTTGAATTAAAGGTTACAAATTACCTAGTCCGCTGCTTCAACACGGCGAGGGAGTGCTCCTGGCTGTAGTGGCAAGAAGATCCAAACCACGAGTCAGTCCAGTCAAAGCAGACCATCCCAGGTAATGTTAAGGTTGTCACTTACCTGACAATGCGAGCTGAGGTCGCTAGGGGGGCAAAAACTGTCCATGTCATTAGAGGGGCAGCGACTTTTCGCCACAGTCTTACGAGGGGAGGATACTTGGTGACCGTGGCTTTTTGCAACGAAATGTATACCAGTAGGTGCGTTTTGGAACACTGATTCTGAATCTATATTCATTATCTGCTGTGCGACTCCCTGAACGAAGTTATGGACTTTTTTCCATATTGATTTTGCGAGATTTAGGTAGTTGAAATCATCAGTATCCAGGCTTTTTAGACTCTGATGTATCGATGACAGGTTTCCTGAGCTTAACATGAAGCTTTACTTCAACTCTACGCTCTTTTGTAGTGCGTAAGCGAACATTCTAACGATATTGGTGAATCCTGCATCAAAAACAGTGCAAATTTTGGTGACAAAAAATGTTCATAACTTCTTTTGGAAGAGCCCACAGCAGATACCGAAAGCAGAATTGGAATCAGCGCTTCAAGATGCACTTAATCGTGTACGTTTCATTTCGAAAGGCCACGGTCACTAAGTATCCTTTCCTTGTTAGAACGCTTCAGCCCTTCTATTTGGGGTGTGGAGGTAATTTCAACAGTTTTAACTTTGAACCAGTCGCCCCACTACCTGTGTGCCGTGTTCATCTGCGGCTTGACGTTAGATGGCAGTACGACCGGTGAGGCAAAGAAGTCTCAGGCGCAAGAGTGAGACGTCCGTTGCGATAACTAAATGGATTTGACAAGACACGGAGGCTGTTTCTGATTGGGCACATACAACGCAAGGGCCATAGCTTCAGCCCCAAGCTTTTCGTCTTCCTAAGCGCCGTAAACGGCAACAAATACGATGTGATTGCAGTAAGAAGCTTTTTGAGATAAGCAAGTTTAGGCAGTATCGACTTGGAATGCGTAGGTCTGACCTAAGACAGGGTAACTTTCGAGTCTACAAGATTCAGCAGAGTACGTATCGAAGAATAAAATATATCAGGGTGATCCAAAAATAATGGGGCATCTAGAAAATAAATGCAGTTTTCTCAAATAGAAAAGCTAATTGAGAGTTCAAGTTTTGGCGGATGTTTAATACATAACAAAACCTTCTGATCGAGGTCTATAGTTGAGCACTATTACGTGGCGTTATTTTTATAAGCGCTTAAAATTAAAGCTCATCACTTCAAGTAATTTAACTTTGAGCAGCAGCGCCGCAGTAGAACAAGTGAGCCTACCAAAGATGGCGCAGCAATGGGTGAGCGACTGCCACCAAATCCACGATAGCTCGGTGGTCCCAAGGCTTTAGAACAGAAGATATAGCATTGAGTATCAGGAGACAGATTACTTATTCGTTTAATAAGGTATTAGATAAGCTCAATCTTGACAGTTGCTTTCTGATAGTGCCTTTTACGCTCTATCCATGCATATGCAAATTACATCGACTTTTCTCTTAAAAAATTGTGGGCCCAAACATGAATTTTAGTCTGAAAATCTGCGCCAAACACCGCCCTTTTTCGAATAAAGTGACTTTTTTGTATGAAATAATAGGCAATTTTTTAATATTCAAGTAGTCGTTAGAAAGAGCTTGGAAAGCTCTTTCGAGTGGTGTGCCATATGTCAAGAGACTTTTAGGTGCAGCGCACAAATTCGGATGGCGTTCAAAAAAAGTACGTCCGACTTTTTTGAAGCGCCACTCGAAGGAATGTCGGTGAGTGCTGCAAGGTGTTTTCACCCTAACCTGCGAAGGTCACTTTATAAAAGCGTTCAAAATGCTGGTTGTTCATAGCTGAAAGAAATCTTGAAAAATGTTCAAAAAATTGAGGTGCCCCATTACTTTTGGATCACCCTAATAGATGGCCCGGTCATATAATAAGAAGAGAAGACAATAGATAAAAAGAAACTTTGGAATGGATTTCAACAAATTTGAAAAGTTTACGTGGAAGACCACCGAAGAGACAGTGTGACTAAATTGTTGCCCAAATAAACAAACTGCATCACAATCATAATCAGGGTCAAGCGTGGGGTGCGGTACGCCACACCTGGGGGGTCGTATTGAGGAGTCAAAAGGGAAGGGGGTCGTAGTTGACTAATCTGATAATAGTGATATTTTTTCTGCACTCAAGACAAAGCACTACTCCTTCTTTGTCCACCTCAGGAATCCCGCTTCAGAAGACCTGCAAGCTGTGGAATTAGAAGCCAACCAAAATCTCTTTTTTCCCATTTTTCGCTTTTGATCGTTGTGCTTTCACCAAATATTACTTAGAGCTAAGAATACAAATCAGGCTCCAAACAGTCCTACGGAATCTACAAGGTTTAGGCTATCGATTCATGTAAATACTGTCCGCTAAAAATGTTTTTTTGATATAGTTAATGGGGTGCGGAACACCCCCTTAAAAGCTGCGGCTGCCGCAGCTTTCAAGGGGGTGTGCCGCACCCCCTTAACTTGCCTTCAAAATCCAGAAAGCGCTCTATTGCTGGTATGAGTATTAAGCACATAGCTTCTTCTTGCTACATTGGAAATTTGGAGCCGAACGCCCCACCCATAAGAAAAGCATGGCCCTTTCAATATGCCCATTCAGATCAAAATCAGCCGTCAAATTACGTGTGATTGTAAAGTGCAGTCACAGAAAATCGAGCGTACGGCTCTCAGAAATCTGAAAACTCTCTAGAAAAGATGGTGTCTTCCAGAATGTCACACTTTGAGGTCCAGAGGTTAAGAGGAGGAAGAATGGGTCGTTGGAGGGCTTTCATGGGAGGGGAGGGGGTTCAAAAGATGTGTGCCTGACCTCTTTCTCAACTCTGGTAATGTATCTTAGGTATATATTAGGTGGGTCCGAAAGTTCTGTCGTTTCATTTTCAAAAATTTGTAACTTTGCGCTGTATCAACAAATTTGTTTGCTTATAATTTCAGCAGAAAGGATAAGTCTTTTGCTTTCAGTTGTCGTTTTGTCGATCTTCTGTTTCACGCTGGGTGCGGAGATAAAAATGGAAAACTAAGACCATTTGAGCTTTGACCATTTTAAGTTAGGTCACCAAAAATCTGGAACGTTGTAGAAAAATCTGAAATCGTCAGTACATATGTTTCTTGGCCTACTCTTTGCAACTGTGAAGAGTTTGTGCTGTTTGGACGTCTCTGTGAGAAATTATGATTTTTGAGAAAATTGGCAAATCAGCCAATTTTGGCGTTTTCCATAGCAAACTCGAAATTTATAACTTTTCACAGAGACGTCCAAACAAGACAAACTTTTCACAGTTGCAAAGAGTAGACCAAGAAACATATGTACTGACGATTTCAGATTTTTCTGCAGCGTTCCAGATTTTTGGTGACCTAACTTAAAATGGTCAAAGCTCAAATGGTCTTAGTTTTCCATTTTTATCTCCGCACCCAGTGTGAAACAGATGCTCCGCAAGCAGCATTTGAAAGCGAAAGACTTATTCTTTCTAATAAAATAACAAGCAAGCAAATTTATTGATACGGCGTAGAGTTACAAATTTTTGAAAATGAAACGACAGAACTTTCGGACCCATCTAATAGTTCAGGGGGAGGGGGGTCTTATTAAGACGGCAATTAGGGAAGGGGGGGGGGTCGTAACTAGCGATCGTGTGCCACACCCCTTGCTTGACCCTGGTCATAATTCAATTCGAATCGTCCAGCAGCAATTGTAACAGCATGCCAAAACCTTCATGAATGACAACTGCACGAAACTGTAATGAGTGGTCAAAACTTGGGGCCCACACGACGCATGAGAATGAGCCCCAACTTTTGACCATTCCTTCGCCCATCTAAGCAGTCTAAGTAAGTAGTACGGGAATAAACATGGGAATTTGCACCTCACAAGGGAAGCAAGGGCGTGTCTGGTCGAAGTGGCCTTTTCAGATGATACCCATACTGCTTTGAAGAGTACTGCACGATGATTCCAAATCTGTCTTCCATATCTGCCAAGCGCCTCTGGCAGATTTATGACCGTTTTTTGAAATGAAAAATGAATGCACAATCTAGGTAACATCGATTATTACAATCTTTCCAGCGTCAGATAAAGCAATGTTGACTATTAGCATATTAAAAGAAATTATTCATTGCATGAACGATTCTGCTATTTGATAATGGACCATTTGAGCAAATTTGAGGGATTTTGCCTCAGTTTTGCGTTTAATTATTTGACCTAAAACTTTGATCCAAAGGCGCTTGGCGTATTTGGAATCACCGCTTAATGCTCTTCAAAGCGGTATGGGTCTCATCTGGAAAGGCCAATTCGACTAAACACGCTTTCCTTGTCAGTAAAATGTCTTTTGAACAGTCTCACATTAAGCAAACTGTTTTCCACAAACCGTGTTTTTTTAAATGTCTCAACATTGTCCAGGAACACCCTACTCGAAGGATACGCTTGAAATCATCGTCTCGCAATCTTGCCCAGTGTATGTATCACATTCTATACTCACGCAAAAAGGGAGGGCTTCTTTCTTCTCAGTACTCATGTCAGATATTAGATTGGCTTTGATGACATTTTACGGAATTCCTGAAGCAGAGTATGATTTTCGGCAGTTTAGTTGCCATTAGCATAGTTAGGCTGCTTGCAGTTCTAGCAAAGGACAAAAAAGGAGTGCTAAATTGGCATTATCTCAACCTATTCTAAGGGCATTCGGAAGAATGTATAATTGTTCTGCTGTATAAAGCTGCTATTTGTAAGAAGCTGCGTTCATAGCCAGCATATATGATGCCAACTTAGTGTGCCACACTCTATATGTCAAAAGTTATAGTAAAGTTGCATTATTTGATAGCCAACTTAATACTTTGACTGCAAGCTAAAATATCTGCCACGAGTGGACAAAATCTACTACAAACACTGTTGCAATGATAAAGTGTAAGACCACGATGAAAGTGCATTGAAACGAATTGCCGCAATGAGCCAAGTGCGTGCATCAACAGATGTTAATCTCTTTGAGATCATTCGTTCAAATCTTTAGTGCTTCAAACTTGTCAGTGGCATCAACAACATGGACTAATTTTATAGGGATTACCTTGTATAGTAGTGTTATATTCTATTTAGTAATGTGATCGTGGTAGGTGGTAGTGATCTACCCGGCATAAGATATGACGGCGAGCTCGCAAACCTCATGACAAGCTCATGTTTTGGGACATGATCACATGGGTACTCAGATAATCGCCGGGGGCAGGCGGTCCGCAAACTCGCGCTTTCCTGCAGGCGGTCAACAGAATTTTGGGGCGTGGCCAAACCTTCAGCGGGCGGTACTTCCGTGTTCTGCCAGCGGGCAGCAATACAGAATTTTTTGCGAGCGCTCGTCAAATAATATCTTCCAGCGAGCGCTGGCCAAACTTTCAGCAAGCGCTCGGACTCTTTTTAGGTATTTTCGGGCGTACGCCGAGCGCAGGTAAGACTCTGTGTGGCAGAGGTGTCACCGTTGGTTTAATTACTCAAGTTTGAGGTACTTTCTCTCAGCGGAAAGTATCTGGGGGTTGCGCGGTCCTCCACAAAGGACCGTGCGGCCCTCAAAAATTTTGCATATTCTCGCGGAAAGTCCGCGAGAATGCGGCCACTGCGCCGCAGCTAATCCATAAAGAAACCGCGATTGTTCTTCAAGCATTCTTCTTTAATTTTGCCAACTTTCTTTCAAATTTCTGCAAGCGGGCCGCAAAAAATCAACGAACTATTTTTCCGGTGCGCGCTTGCTCAAAATTCGCATGGCCGCCTGCCCCCGGCGGTTATCTGAGTACATGTACACCGCTGAGCTAACCATTCGTATCGGAGCGTTTTCTCCCAAATCTTCCAAATCTAATGATACTAAACAGAATGAACATAGGTAGCTGGTAACTTACAGTAACAGATCAGAGAGAGAGAGCTAATCTGGAAGCGAATAGAGGTAGAGGTTCCTCATACCACAGCTAAAACTAACAGGTACCAGTGAAAGGCGGCATGTTTTGATTTATTCAGCGAAGATCTTAGCGCTGTTACACACTTCGCGCTTTGACCTCAAAGGACTGTAGCTATCGTCAAATCTAACATTTTCAATGAAAGCTAGGGAAATAAGTCCATCTATAAAAAACAAAACAACTTAAGTCAGGACGTTTGAAAACTAGTAATGGGAACAGATTTTTGAGCACACAAAATGCAAAGACTCACACTTTTTGTGAACTATTGAGTCTTTTTACTCTTACAAGGGAAGGATACTAATTTAGATTCGCCTTTTGAGATGAAATACAATATCTGGAATCAGCTTGGAACGCTGATTCCAAATATGCTGTTCCTAGCTGCTCAGCATTATGCTGAAGCGAGTTATGGTCTCTTTTCTAGGCAAAGTTTGCGTGCTTCTCGACCTGCTGATGCTACGGTGTCGACGTCTAGGTGATTTTGCAATTGTATAAAGCTCCCTTTCAAGATCGGAAGCATTAATCTGATCCTAGTTTGAAATCCTAGCACTTTTTCGAGCAGATTCTTATCTACACGCCGTCTTACAAGTTCAGAAGTTTGTTATTATAGTTACTCACAAATGCAAGCCCTTAGCTCGCTTCGGAATAACGCTATGCAGCTAGGACTAGCATGACTGGAATCAACGTTCAAAGCTGATTCCAAATTTATGTGTCACATTTTAAAAGGGGAATCTAAGTTAATATCCTTCCCTTGTTAGTTTTATCCAGTAGTTTGAACATAATCGTTAAGCTTTGAAAGTCCGGAAATTTTCAAGAACGTTTCCTATAAACATCGAACCGTGACGATTTATTCAAACAGATAATCATAAATTTTGTTGATTGACAAGATTGGCCTCCTTCCACGAAAGAAATCTCCTTCACTTATAATGTTTAGCTGAAATGATTGAAGTTTACGCACTATTGTCGGTCATGCTATTCCCAAGCTGTAAATCACACGGAAGAGTTGAAATTTGGAACAAATTAGGTCTTAATTGGAAATGCTGTAACAAGATCCACTTACCATGTTTCTTGGAATGTTTTTTAACATGTCGTTTATGATGACGACGATGGTGCACATGTAGATGAGTTGAAATGTACATTAAAGCATCAAATTCCTGAATGTATTTTTATTTGAGTTGGGAAATAAATTGAAACCATTGAATCAGTTACCTTAGTGTGATTTCTGGCCAGTTCTTCGATTTTATGCCTCATCTGATTGTGAGATTGGTTTTCATCCTCTACAATCTTCAAAAATTGTTCATGGATTTTAGGTAGTGCACTCAATACATCAGTGACGTTCTTCTTTACTTCCATTTGGTGTTTCTTCAAATCTTCATCGAATTTTTTCACTTTATCCTGTAAATGCAAAATGTTATGTCGGCGCGAAAATTCTTGCGTCATTTGAGCGAAATTCATAACTTTTCAAATACTAAATCTAGATTTACAGTTGAGTAAAAATCCTACAAGTTCTGCGCTTTATAAAGATGTTCCAAGCTTGAACTACGAGTTAGCCATCAAGAACGAAAGACAGCATTACAATTTTACGACTTCGTATTTAGTGCTAGAAAATAGCGAAGGGCCATTAGCTAGTCGCAAAAAATGTATGATTTTTTACACATCAAAAGTCCTTATGTTTGAGGCGCTTCATTTCTGCGAGACTGCAAAAAAAGAATTCGTGAATAATGTTATTTTATAACTTTGCAGGGAAAATGTCCTGATCGCTGCAAAAATCTCCGGATTCTTCACATAATCATGGTTGGAACCAGAAATTATGCCTAGTGCCTATTTAGATCACCTTTTCTGGAGCGTCAAACAGCATTTATGCTGAAAAAATGCGTTAAAAGAGAATTTTTCTGCAAAATATTTTTCACAAAATTTTCGTTTCTGCATTTCCAAGCAAGACTGAAGCTTGCTACTGTAACGTATGGACTACGATTATGCACAAAATGTCTGTAGATTTTTTGGGGCTAGCTAGTGGCCCTCCGAGGTTTTCTGTCACCAAACCTCAGATTGCAAAATTTGAAAGCGCATATTTGAAACCTTCTCTCGGTGACCAGCTAATAAAAGCTGTTTTAGCCAGTTCTCTAGCGCAAATCTTCTATTTTTCGAGTGCTAAATGATAATAGGTATACTATCTGGAAAGTTATGGAATTTTATTCGATTTTCGCGAAAACTTCCTAAACCACTAACGCAAAAGTATCCTACCGTTACGTTGTGCTTTCCAGCCCACTCCAGAATTTGTTGTTTTTGCTGAGCAATCGTTTCATTAGCTTTTCTTAGGATACCATAGTATTCTTTCCTAGCGTCTGTTGACAGGCCTTTCAGAAAGCTGGGACTGCGATGATGATGATGTTGCACGTGATGATCGTAATATTCGTCATCATCATTATACCAGTGATAATGGTGATGTTGACGTCTAACTATAGCGCTACATATGATAGCGCTGAACAAAACAATAATCACGGTCCTTTTCATTCTGAAAAATTCAAAATTAAGCAGCTAATATTATAAGTTCTATAAAAAATAACGTCTTTTTCGCAACTAAGAAACTCTAAAACGCCTACAGCAGTAAGGAATTGGCTAAAGAAGATAACTGGTTATGATTGATTTAGTAGAAAAAAAGTAAAGAGATCTGAGGCAAAGAAATGTTTCAATTCTGTCACAGAGTTTATGATTTTTTTGCACTTGTAGGCTAATAGTTGCGATATAGTGCCTGTTGTTGGGACCACCTATGGCGAGTTTACGCGCAATGCTGGCACCGCCGTGAAGTTATACGAATTTACTATCCTGTACATTTGTTGCCAAACCGATGTTCAAGCCGTGAATCACAAACTTTTCTCACTAAAGGAGCTCCTGCCCAGTTTTGACAGTTTCATGTGAGTTTCTCATTGATTTGCAAATGTGCTTCCCTTCCAAATTTATTCTTCGTATTATAGAACCACTTAAAAAGGAAAGAAATGGGCGGGAGGAGGGGGAGATAAAGGTCAAGATCAACACAGGGCAGTAGAAACTCCTCTACTGGTCAATAGCTTTGATAGATCTGATTAACTTTGCACAGCTAATGAGAGCACTTACAATCCAAGGACATTCAAATATCGGCAATATTAAAGGCAGTGTCGCGACAGATTCGCATCCTGGGGGATATTGCTATGGTGGGGTTCCTGGTCATCCCACTGATCTCCAGGCGCAGTCCGGCTGGTTAATGTTCTCCCTTGGCCGAGAAAATAGCCCTCGAACCGGCGCGAGCAACCCCAATCGGCGTGCGCTCGGACGGCTTCGCTCACCGTTCGGCGCGGGACCCCACGACCGCTCTCTCACATTTTGCATGCTATCCAAAAACAGGCAGCAGGGTCTTCGTGCCAGGACCTCCTATTGAAATTCTCGTCCGAGCTGCTTTAAAAATTGGGTAAACGCCCCGAAAAGGTCTCTTCACCCGTTCTTAAGCTCAAATTCGGTGTCTACGGGTCGAAAAGGCCTAAAACATGCAAAAAGATGGAAATGCGAAATCTGCCGAGACACTGCCTTTAAGGTGTTCTTTCAAGATAAAATCTCTGCAAGACTTTCAAGCCTCATGCGAACCTACACTAGATTCCTCACATATTATCATGGGATGACGAGATATTATATCGGCACATACCGCAGAAATAAGCATATGAAAAGGCGTTCTACTGGGACTTATTCCCATTCATAAGTAATTTTTTTAATAAGAATAATTTTTTGCAGAGCTCGTGAAGCAATAGCAGAAAGTAAGCAAATCAGACAAGGAGCTTTTTCATAAAACATCAAATGGAAAGCTATATTAACCATATTACCAGATGAGATTGACTTGTTTTCATGGTCCTCAATGACTCTAATATCAACAACACCGTAGGATGGTCATAGGATGGAGGGCTCTGATCCCATATTATTTTGTGGGGGAGGGGGGAGAAGAGGCAAATGAAATGAATACTTTCTGACGATTTCCATTCTTTCATCCATAACAATGAATCTCGACACTGCTGTGTAAACGTAAAGCCTACAAATGATTTTCCACCAAAAAAAGTAACAATTGAGCGAAGCTGTTTTTTATATTGATTGCACTACAGTAACTTGCAAATATGTATAGTTATAGTTTATTCGTATGAACTGGCTTTTATTTAGAGTGTTGCACGTTAAAAAGGCAATGCTAAGCTATTTTTTGCGCATATGCCGTTAACACTTCTGCGGATTTAGTTTGTGGAAGTAAAAATAAATAAACTTTGCATTTCTACTTGTTACCGAATAAGTAGGAGATATAAAAATTGCAGAGCAAAAAAAAATTCAGACCTATCTATAATATATATATATATATATATATATATATGTTGTGTATTGCCTAGCTATGGACAAGTGCAGAAGCGATTGTAATTTCACAGATTGCCCTTTTGTTCTTATTAGACAGTCAAACCTTATTATGCAAATTCTAAGAAGAGCAGAAGAGTTATAAAGTTTTTCTCCTATCTAATGAAATAAACTGAAGGAATTGAAGCTTCGAGACTTCTATGTTTGCCGCTTCTAAGAATTTTCCAATCTTCATTTGCAAAATACCTGAAATGGATGATAGCTTAGACTGTGTATTTCATAGTTCAAATCAGTACTTTACAAAAGGGGGTATCAAACTGTAGATTTAATGTCTCATACCGAAAAACTTTTCTTATTTTTGCATGAGAAACTGACGTGGTTGGAAGCCTCATAAAGAGACTAATTTCCATTTGGCTCCTAGTGGGGGCTCTCAGTAATGACAAAAGGCGAGAAATTTTGATTGCGGCTCTATAGTCCGAATCGAACACAACAAAAAATGCTCTAACTATCGGAAAACATTTGGGAAAGTTAGAACTTTACATCGTTCCTTAAAATATCCCACTGTCTTTTTATGTTAGTAGGCAAATACCTCTAGCAGATCTTCGGGGTCTTGTGTCATGCTAAATTGGTGATCAGAACTTCCTATCAATGTTCTGGCCAAACAACATTGGCGCTGAATCGAAGCAGTCAAAAGTTTTTTTTTTGACGAAGGCAAACTGGAATACATTTAGAGCTACCAAGGAAATGTTGTTATGCAAGAATTGACATCAATCATGAGCCCGCTAGAATGCCTGACTCATCGCTCTCATAATTTCCATGCCGACGGGAGGAAAAAACAATAAACGAGGTCACTGAAAACAATAAATTCTTTGCAAAGAGGCAAAAAACTTCAATGGTACTTCATTGGCAGCTAATCTGTCGCATCAGTGCAACATCTTTGACTAAATTCTTTTTGCTTCCAAAGTGCGCCTAATGTCAAAGGTCGCTTCTTTCAATTAACCTACAAAGTGTTCTAAAGATTTGAGCTGTTGTTTTACAATGCTGATTTTATCATAGCAATTCAGAATGCAGGTGATTCAAAATATTTGTCTCGCGTCTCAAAGTGACACATTCGAAGAAAATGCGAACAAATGTTTACTCTCGTATGAAGTTGAACCTTCTTTAAAAAAGAGCGATACAGAAAGAGAGGGAACCAGAGAGCTTTAGGAGCTTTGAGAAAAAAGGAAAAAAAATAACTGAACCTCATTTTGCTTTTCTTACAACAGATAAAATATTTTGATGCGATTGAATGATTAGAGGATAGAATTCAAAAAAGTTTGCAGAATATTGCATATGACTCTTTGTGTTTAATCGTGTCAAACTTTTCCTGTATCCCGAGCTTAAATGTGATAAATGCGTAATCGGAAAACTTGTCCAAATCGAATTCATACTGAGTTTATTCTTCCCAAAGATTTCTGTTGTGATTATTCAAAAAAACTGCTATTATTCTCCTGAAAGTTTCAGTTTGAACGAAAATCCGCAAGGCTTCCATTGTGCTGAAAATCTGATTTCCTTAAAAGCTCAGTGAGAAACAATCGAATAGATTGACTTAACCCATTGACGACGATGCGGACCACAAAGCAAAGCGATACTACAGTAGAGAAAGTTTGTGTAAAAGATTGATCTTGATAGCAAACATAGATTTTTGTGCCATTATCAAGTATCCTCTCCTCTCATCGCTTTGATATACACTTGAGAAGATAAGACTGATGAATTAAGTGCGACTCAGATCAAGAATTCAAGTTAGGCTTGGACTTATTGCACTAGAAACAAATTTTAGATGATCCTACAACAGGATTATTCAATAAATGATAGGAACCACCTGTTCTATTCTTTTGACTTTTTTACGCCCGCACCGCTCAAGTAGCACTCCAAGTTATGTTGGAAAAGTCTAGATTGTTGCAAAAAAATCAAAAGCGCTATCGGTAGGAGGAGTTTACTGAGTTCATTTGTTAAAAAAGCCAAATCATAACTTTAAATGTTCTTTATTGAAACCGGGCGAATTAGTATTATATCAAGATCAGAATTAGAAATCGTAAGCAATATCAAGGATCATTTTCACATTATCTTGCAATTGTCTCCTCGTCGTTCTTTCAATATTCTCAGCTCACTTTCATCTCGCGCCAACTAAACATTTATTTTGATGAAAAGTATATGATTGCATTTAATGCAGAAGTGCTTACATCCGCATTTAGACGATCCTGTTCTGCTGTCAGTTTTTCCTCTTTTTCTTGTAGTTCTTTTGCTTCCGCAGTTCTGTTTGTATGTGAGATTCTTAACCCGAGCCAACAACGCAAACCCTACCTTTCCTTCAACTGCTTTTCGATTACGTTTTTGAGGTTCTTCGTTTGTTCGACATTTTTTTGTAACGTCTCATTATCCGCTCGTAACATCGCTTTCAAATCTAAACGCTGTCAACTGTGTCAACACTGTGAGCTGCAACTGGAATGGGGACTGTGCGGAATTACAATGTAATTCTTCGCACAATCAAGCCAATGAACTAAATGTTTGCTCCTTTTATCACTGATCAAAAAGCCTACTCCTTGAGATTTGAAGAGAAAAAACTCTGTGCTATTAGGGTACGCGTATATGCCAAGAGAATTGCTTTCTCATTTTTACCTTCAGTTTTTTATCACTAAAGGCCTTTCGTAACAAACTACTAGTCATGCAGTGAACAGAAATATGAATAAAAAATCTCATCATTCTGTTCAACTCCAATTTTCACGAAACACAACCAAGGAACATAAGTGAAAAAATTTTCCCCCATCTTCTAGACGAAGTGCAAGTACGTGACCATGTCGAGCTTGGATTGCTTGGAGTTGATACCCATTCCGCTATATATACAGTTTCAGAATGTAGCAGAAACAAACTAGTTTGATTTTCTGCTGGCCAATTTCCATTACCCTATTGAGGATAGAAAAATTTCAGGATGAGCATACCTTGTAACTCTTTCACTCTACCAGCTCCTTTAGTGTTGCTCGCATTTAGTAACTGCACCACTGACACCCCTTTCTAGAACATCGAATTTGGGAAATGCTAATATCTTTGCAAATCTTTCAACTCACTGATTCACTTGGATCAGCAAGGTTTAGTGTTTGCTCAAGACTCATTAGAGTTGTCCCCAGTTCAATCCAAATCGTTTGAAAAGCTCCTGGTTCTTCGATTTTGGGATCTTCCCATATCTAAAGCCTACATTACAGTATCCGGGTTGAGTTTAGAGTCATGGATGATACAAGTTGAGTAAGAGAAAAATTTGGCGGTTTATTTTTTGTCCAATTAAGTACTAACTTGATTTCTGCCATCCCAAATCATGTTGGAAAAATAACTTGCTTTTCAAATACAAGAAAAATAGTCAAAATTTCTCACAATGGATTAAAACTTTGAGTTATAAACCGAGTTTACGGCGTTGTGTGAAAAGAATGAAAAGCGAGTACGCCGTAAATTCGAAGAAGAGAAAGACGAATAACGATGCATCTTGATTTTTGGCTACCTACCGTCTTCCACTGTTCCTTTGTCGGTATTGATATTGCCTGTACTATCAATTTGTGCTGAGGATTATATCGATTTTCTACAAGCTCGATCCTAATCTAAAATGTTTAATGTGCAAATCTATCTTTCCGAAAAAATCTCTCTTCTTACTGGGACAGGCTTGTCGTTTTCAAGCACTCCGCAGTTCGGACTAACAATGTATCTTGTTGGTGCATTGGTCTGAAATTGGGGGACTTCAGAAGATTGTCTTAGGCTGCAGTATCACCCGACCTGGAATCGAAAAGAGACTAGCCCTGCTTTTGGTACTCGGCTTATATTAATCGTCTGTGAAGCATTCTTGCTTTGTTCAATATCGAAAACCAAAAGTGTCTGCAACAATGAACATGGCAGATGTCCCAAGAGCAGTAAATTTTTTGAAGAGTTGGCTGAAGATGATCTCTCCAGAAGACGAGCTCTTCTGATTCAGCGCTACCAATCCGTTTTTGGCTATTCGTCTGGAACCGTGCACATATTGCACATATGTTACGTACCTGATCTAGGAATACAACAGGGGTCGAGATCTGTTCATCTGAACCAGCCGTATTTAGGCGTACTGAGCCCATCAATGAACTCGAACTTGCTTGACTGCTTACACAGAACAATTTTTGTTTGTTGTCTGAAAGTGCATTTGAATTAGATGTTTTGACTATGCGGTCTCTTTATGTGCAGTAAAAAAATTCAAGAGTGAGCTTTGTGAAACTTGATAGCAATTTTCTACAAATGCCTAAACACGATAGTAATTTTGATATGGCAGTACATCAAAATCGTACAAGCTAACACCAATTTCTCAAATTCACTCATGAGAAGGACCTTGAATACTGTTGCAACTTGTCTTTATTGACTTACGTTTTTGGAGATGTATATAGGATTGAAATCATTTAAGGATGCTGCATTCCAAATCTGCTAGTCAAATCGTCATGCGCATTTCACCAGCTTTAGCAGGGAAAGGATCCCAATTCGAAGTGGCAAACTGGAATGAAATACGTATCTTAAATGTGTCTTGGTGGGTTGATTCCAAATCTACCTTCAATATCTGCTGCGAGAGTCTTTGCAAGCAGTTATGGGCGGTTGAGAGTGTGCGAAATCATAAGATTCCAGTGCATGATGTGCTCTGAAGTCCAGGTTGAGAGCACATAGATAATAAGGTGTTGTGCTAATTACAGCAATGCACATATCAACCAGAAACATAAATAAGCGCATTAGAACTAGTTTTTGGAGGTGTGCTGCTAAGCGTTTGCCATATTCAAACTTTCAAACGCTCGTAATTCCTTCCAGAGGATCCCGCAGCAGACAATCTGAAGTCAGATTCGAAATCAGCTCTTCAAACGCATCTAAAAATTTGCATTTCACTCTACTTCGCCACTGCGACTTAGAAACTTTCCTTAGTAAGCATGTATGATTAACGTATTTCAATTATTTGATGACCCGTGGGGGGTGATCAGCATGCTCGATTACCCCCCTGTGCCAAATCCCAGCCTCCTAGCTCAAATTTTGCAAAAAATCGATAAAATCGACATCAATCGATAACGAAAAGTGGACTGTGACACCCGCCGGGGCCCGAAGTGTATGTGTGCCAAGTTTGGTTCGGATCGGTTAAGAAATGGAATTTTCTATTCGGAACATACGGCGGAGCCGGGTATGCCAGCTAGTAAACGATAAGACGAAGGTGATGAGGCCCAGACTGGACTTTGCTCAGCCTTATATACCCCTCGACTTGGCGTCGTTCCCAGCCGGAGGTGGTCCTGCAGCAGCCTACAAAAGCCGCGACAGATAAACGCGGCATCAGCGCCCCCGAGACCTGTTCCGAGGAGCGTCTCTGCATCGCGGAGCCGCGACAGTCAACAACTGTTCGTTTTTGAAGCATTCCATGTAAGATCGGTAATTTTGAGAAAGAAACCTTTTTTGCAAAGGAACAAACGCGAATTTAAAAAGATTACTGAATTTTTTTTGGCTTCGTGGTCGTCATGGAGGTACACCTTAAGCTGAATTTTCGTAAAAATATCTTTTCAGTTTTTTAGGTAGAACCTGCCAAATTGACTATCTACGTAATTACCACTTTTTGACGCTATTACTCCGGAAAAAGCAAACTTTTCAAGCACTTTCTGGGCTAGAATTTATGGGGAGCAGCTTTACTTGTAGTGTTTGGCTGCTGTCTGTTTGGTTTGGCTTTTGCAAAGTCAGGCAAGTCATGACTTTGCAAAAGCCGAATTGCCGATTTAGTTTTGCGTGCCAAAAGTCGCGTAGACTCGTATGACGCCCAAATTTTGAAGGACCCGCTTATCGAACCGGCTCGTCCTGTGCTTGGTGGACCTGCATGCTGGTACTGTATGTTATGCAAAATTGCAGCTCGCTAGCTTGGCTGCAGCTCCCTCTATGAATTTCGTGACACTCGCACACACATACACCATACACACATATACACAGCATATACACATATACATACATACACACATATACACATACACTCATACACACATACACAAATACACACATATACACACACAATAATAGACGAGCGCTTTATTATAAGTCATGATACACACATATACACATACACTCATACACACATACACAAATACACAAATACACACATACACACATATACACATATACACATATACACATACACACATATACACATATACACATGCACATACACATATACATACATACACACATATACACATACACTCATACACACATACACAAATACACACATATACACACAATAATAGTCGTTTAGCGCTTTATTATAAGTCATGATGGTACTATCAAGCATGATTGTTATGCAGGTTGGTGTAGCGTTGCAACAAAAAAACTCCATCGGGGGAATTTATGCATTCATTATACGAACTTTGTATGTAGAGTAATTGTGCTGTTACCTCGGAGAGCAACTGCTTCGTAATTTTTTGAAAGTCAAGAAAGTCTATCGTTTGCACAAATTTAGGTCTATATAAGCTTCCATTAACACTGCACTCACTTTCATTAAGAAAAGCTTGTCGATTCGTAGGGAACTCTCAGTGTAAAAACCATTGCTTTCAATCTAAAGATAAACCCGTCTTGGAGTTTTGCATCCGTCTAGTCCAAATCTAGGGGTAATAGAAAGTAATCGAGCAATGAAAACGAGGTAATCACATAAATAAATGACCTTGATTGAATATGAGACAATGGAACAGGTAGGCGCCTAAAATGAACTAAAGCTAATAAGCAAAAAATAAATCGAAAGCACTATAAGAACAGAATCCGAGAATTTAAGGTTATTCCGAGAGTTGCCGACGTGCCGCGACTTCGCTGTTTAATTTCGTGGCACCTCAGCACTTCGACTTTTGTGACGTCACCTGCAACTATCTGGCCGCTCCTAGCGTGGAAAGTTTTTCGCGAAACTTCGGAACTGTTCAAGTTCAGGAATCGGCACGAGGTGGCCCTAGCAGTTTTTAACAGACGAAGACTTCCTTGGCTTCACTGCACTTCTACGACATGCACTATGGGTGCTCACAGGAGAAAGAAACATGACAGATAGAGCATTGAAACCAGTTCAAATTTGAAAAACGTAATGTTTGTATGGTTGTTTTGGCGGCATGCTGTGTCCGCCGCGCACCAGCAGGCACTTGGAGCAGCATTGCTGCAACCACTTTGAAATGTTAGGCTGTTACTAAGAGGAGAGGATGGGGTTTGCGACGAATCAAGAACGCACAGATAGATAAGGGGATGTAGAGTAGAATTATGTAAATGGAAAAATTATGCGAAAGGGAAAAATCTATAATTTTTCTTTTCACGGTCACCTCAGTGGCCGTCCAGCTGGCCATAAAGCCAGCTAAATCCGAGAAAAAAGTAGGCCACGTGTTCATTTCACACAAGTTTTTATAATTTTTTATACATGATTCCAATTCCCTACTCTCACCTACACACCAAGTTTTGGTGTCATATCATTGCATTTTGCTGTAAACAATGCTTTTGTTCGATTAGGATACCGCCGTGTTAGAGAGCGCCGCTGCATGCCTGGTGGCGTTCTTACGGTTCCTTTCCGCCCCGAACCCGCACGACATCTCCTTTGCTGGTCACCCCCAGGACAATATCTAGCCTACTTTTTAGACCAGTTGTGCCGAGTCCTGATTGATTTTTCTGGCGGAATCTCCTTAAAGGCAGTGTCCCGGCAGATTCGCGCCCTGGGGGATATTGCCATAATGGGGTTCCTGGTCATCCCACCTACAGGCGCAGTCTGGCTAGTTGATGTTTCCCCTGAGCCGAGAAAATAGCCCTCGAACCGGCGCGAGCAACCGCAATCGGAGCGCGCTCGGACGGCTTCGCTCACCGCTCGGCGCGGGACCCCACGACCGCTCTCTCGCATTTTGCATGCTATCCAAAGCAAATACAGGCAGCAGGGTCTTCGTGCCAGGACCTCCCAGCTTTTCATTAAAATTCTCGTCCGAGCGCCCTTCTATGAATTGGGTAAACGCCCCGAAAAAGGTCTTTTCACCCGTTTGAAAGCTCAAATTCGGGGTCAACGGGTCGAAAAGGTCCAAAACATGCAAAAAGGCGGAAATGCGAAATCTGCCGGGACACTGCCTTTAAGATTGCTTAGTTCAGTCACCATGCGATTTGCGATCAAATTTTAAAAGATGAAACACTTGCAAACTGCAAATGTATAGTGTGATAATCTTGTAAAGAAATTCTCTGTTTTTTGTATCTTTACAATTCGCTTACAATGAGTTATAAGCAACCAGTGCGTCACCTCTGCTTCGCAGAGGCTCGCACTGGTCCTACTATCTGTACGCTTTACTCATTCCCGCACAATAGTGACATTGAAACTCACCGCGCTATGCGGACTATCACGAATGACTTGTAAACAACTATTCATTCCGAAAGCTTTTTCGGATGAGATCGGTAATTTCGCATGAACTTGCCAAACTTTTGCCATAAGAACAAATGCAGATTTGAATCGGTTTTTGGACTTTTCACAGCTTGGTATTCGCCATAAGATGCAATAACCAACGTGGGCCACATCTCTGTGCAAAAATCTTCTCAAATGATCGGGTAAAACCTTGGCAAATTGAACATTTACGCAACCTATACATTTTTGCGCCGTTTTCGCGAAGTAATGAACTTTGGTTCAATTTTTTAGGCTAAAGTCCATGGCTTGCATACTAACTTGTGAAACTATCCTTGATTTTGCAAAAAGCCGTGTACACGCTCAATTTTACTGGCCAAAAGCCATGTGGATCCGTTAGAGGCGCATTTTTTGAGGGATCCACTCAACGGATCCGCTCGTGCTTTTGTATAGTGGAATCCCATGTAGGTAGCATGTGCTGTGCAAAATTTGGGCTCAGGAGGTTGGCTGGAACACGTCCTACGAATTTCGTGACAGACACACACACACACACACACACACACACACACACACACACACACACACACACACACACACACACACACACACACACACACACACACACACACACACACACACACACACACACACACACACACACACACACACACACACACACACACACACACACACACACACACACACACACACACACACACGCACGCACACACGCACACACACGTAAACAACCCTTAGCCCGTTATTATAAGTTATGATGATTGGTGTGTTTTCAAGTCCCGTAGTAATTTTGAACGCGTGAGATATGCCCGAGGCCCAGTGAATCATTTTGCTAACAGCTTCTTGCTCTTTTTATAGGCGGTGATTCGTCAGATTGAATCCCTCCAGATATCGTGATATTATGTAGTAAGTTGCTCGCGTACACCGTAGCCCCAATATTACTCTTCAGTTTATGCGCTAAGCTCTGAAAACGCGCTTTGAATACCCACCGTTGACACCTTTTCACTGACGAGATAGGGTTGGTAGAGTTGA